AAGTATATAAATTACATGTATAATTACATACTGTCGGTTATTGTAATAGATTCTTTACATGGAAAGATAAACGTAAAAAAAACTCCAACAATTACCTTCAAATCTGCTTGTTGACAGTAAGCCCATTGGTTGAATAGTTTTATTAATAACTAATCTTATTGAGTACGGGGCAATATATATTTTAATAATTATTTTCCAAATTTAAATAAACGTATACGTTATCCATTACTGTACTTTTGATAACAAATAATATTATCTTTCTGAATATTACGTGTAATTATTTCTATATTTACTATTGCCATTGACTAAGAATTTCGATAGTGACATTGATTAGATAATTGGGTTTAGTATTTCATTTCTCAGGAATCAAACCGTTTTGCCACTTTTGTTTTTTGTTTATTAACTCGCAAGAAACAGCCAATCAGCTACACAATATGTTTAGTTCTACAATTATAATTATAACTTTACATCATCTTTGTCTGGGTAGTTATGATTAGACTTTCACACAAGTTTTACATAATTGCTATCAAGACCTAGTTTACAGCATTTGAGCCATTACAGAACTGATACTGCAAATTCTTTGAATGCTTTACAGTAGTTGATATAATATTTAGGAAATGTCTCAAGTTGCTAGAGCTGCTAAATTAAAAGCTCTTATAACAAGCTCGCTTCCAAGTGCATTAATCAAAACGGTTAAATTGTTGTGTCTGAGTTAGGGACCTGTCTCAGTTCTGAACCCAGACACTCAGTCCAGAATCCCCCAACTGATGTCAACAAAATATTACAAAAAGAAGTTTAAAAAACAAGCTTGTAATCTAGCACAACTGGAAGTGTAGTAAAATAATATTACAAATGCAGGGACTTGTTCACTGAAGTAATAATAATAAATTAATTGTTTGTAATTATGGCAGACTAAGACATAGATATTATTTATGAAAAATAACCTAGATTGCCTGGTATAAAGAATAAGACTATAATGGTAATAAACCAGAGTTACAGTGTCAACAGTTTGGTCTATAAAACACTATTTTAATGACAACACAGTAAAATGCCATTCATGAAACCAATTTGTATTTGGTTGAAAAAGAAAAAGAAACTTACTCTTTCAATAGTCTTGTTAAAGTCAAATTTCATTTAACATTAATTCAGCTATTGGAACAAAGCATATGGGTAGACTTATAGTAAAACAAAAGAATTGCTGCAGTTTAGAAAATAAGTTGGTAAACATTTACAATAAAGACAAATATTTATTGTACATAATTTATGCTTAAAATACAAAGTATCTTGTAATTTTAATTGAAATTTTTTGTCAGACTAAACACATTGACTAATATGCAAATAATATTGTTGACTGCATGATTGTACAGTCATACCTGCTCTGTTAGAATATATCAAATTTACGGTAGGTGACGACATGACAAAGATATGCTACAAACAAATCAAAGCTAATCTATACAGGATGCATTTCTACTATCACTATAAATATTCGGTAATCTCTTTTTGAACGTCATACGCGCTTTTCTAAAATTTGCGTAAGAATCAGTATACTTAGGAATCACTTGACAATGAGCATACACTATTTAAAATTTTTATGTACACCGCCACTTAATCAGCTGTTTGTATCATTGCTAAGCTCTTGTTGACCATTTTAGTGTTTATACCATTCGCGTACGGCTCCGCATGTTACAATACGCTGCGCCATGCAGCAACATCTTTTAATTATTACTCAATTGACAGGTGTTACATTTGACAGAATTAAACTTCTTATTCTTCTTCCTTCCTTTTTTTTTTTTTTTTTTTTTTTTTTTTAATTTTGCCTAAATAAGTTAAACCAACGAGAAATAATCGAAGCTCCGAATCTATTCTACGTCGTCTTATCAACTCAACAGGGTTTAATAACAAGTGGTTGAATATTTCAAGTCGCAGGTCTTGTGAATCGCTTATGAGATGAGTTTGTAACGTAGGTCATACCATTGGGGGCTGAAAAAAGAGACCGACATTGTCTGCCTTGCAGCTCCTATCGGAATAATGGTAAATGAACAGTGGATTCCCAGGTGATTAATCGATTGGTCCAGTATGCAAACAGAAGACGTAAAAAATTTTCTTATAAAATAGCGTCCTTTCGTGCCAGTGAGAGATTCATCGTCAAAATGTCTTCACCAAACAAAACTTTGTTACATAATATCACGCAATCTTCTCATACAAAATTTCAATACAAACCAAATCATCAAATTGTCTTGATGACACTCTGCTCTCTGCCTTGTGCACATTGCCTCCGCTTTACCGAGCAACTGTTATACGCTGACGACGACCGATATTCTAACGAACCACAGCCTCTAGCTTGGATATTAAATGAAGTTTACAACGGCAGCGGGCAAATTTTTTTGCAAATTTAAGAAGCACAGGATGTGAAAGAGGAAGCCTGGCGGGGGATACTGGGAGAGAATGGGAGAAAGAGAGTTGGGGGGGGGTGCCAAAGCCGACGCATGGCTCATGACTTATGGTGGTGGAAAAAATGTAAAATTTATAACTAATATTTGACATTATATTTTAAATCATAAATGAAAAAATTAAGTTATAATATTATTTCTAAATTATAAAATGTATCTTTCAAAAGTTTTATTTAAACAAGAAAATATATAGTAATGGTAGTCTTAAAAGTTTTAAAGATTTCTAACAAATTTGTCAATGTAAAAAGGTTTATTAATACTGGTAAAATTATAGAATTCAATTACTTTGCTTTCCAAAATAGCTTATGACAATTATACGAATTATTACTGCATGTTTATAGATCGATTCTTAACATCAACGAGTTGGCTGTTTCGCATTATCTACTTCCTGACAAAGTGATCATTATCTATTTATAAAATAAAAGAAGCGGATTATCCATTGAATATTCCTAAAAAACGTTGCGTATATTCCATTGTCAAAATTACGATCAGACAATCAATTAACGCGGACGAGCGAGCGGCAGGATTTAATTGAACATGTCAACTAAGCAAATCGAGTACTAACCCAAGAATGGACCAAAACGGATCATTCACACGTGGTGTAAACTATCTTTTTATTTTTGCAGACATGGCTCATAACGATAACAGTATTTTCTTGACATATCACCCAATCTCCACTCTCACGACACTATAGGCGAGCCAACATATAGAGGTAATAGTGACCTGAATGGAAAGAAAAAGGATGGATGTGTAAAAGAGAGCGTTTGTGGGTATAGAATGTTTATCAAAATGTTTCTTTCTGGACAGAATGCAGAGTTACTTGTTCCGGCGAAGACTGGATACTTTGCGGGGGTTTCAGGTAACTAATAATGACATTATATTTTACTAATCCTCGCCCATCGAATCAACCTAACATTGATTTGTCCATCTAATCGTGCAACTCCTTTATGCCGAAGGCCTAACAATATCGGTCGGCAATTTATAAGTGTATATCAATGGGTCAGTCTTCTTAATGCTGGTAATTATTCAGCAGTACAAATCTCCAAGAAGTTTTGCAGATTATCTCAATGTCACTTACCTCCTGTTTCCTATAGATGTGCTGAATCCAGGATGCGCACGCGTCTGCATTCTAATCTACTGCACGTAACATGTTCGTTTACCAGATCAATTTGACAGGAAGAACCGGATGCCCAGCCACCGAAGGTGCCCTTCGGAGTGGCGTTAGCGCCATATGAGAACTAGAAAGACCACCACACACTCTCAGATGATTCCTTGGTCGGACAATGTCAAAAAAATTCACCTATATTCCAAGATGCACCATACTGTAATATTATGTTACCGTTTGCAATTTTTCCTGTTTCATTCGCAAGACGTCCAACTGACTTTTCTCCGAATACTTCACAATTTACAGGCCAGAAACTTGTCCGTTGATATGATTTTCGAACACAGATCAATTCCATGGTTAGGATAAGGCGACGAGAGAGAGATCATTCTGGAGCATATCAAAAAACGATGACTGACGAAGAGTGGATTTTTGCGTGGTGAGTGGTCATGTGGGGAAGGCTGTATGTGATAATTAAGTGGATGGACCAAAGATGTATGTTAATAAAGCCAAGTGTAGGGAATATTGATGGAATTAAACAGGAACTCTGGATGGTAGCATCGGAATGATAACGCCAATATCGGAAGAGAATGCATTATTGTATACACAAATGGTCAATGGCATTCGAATATTTTGATTAACAGCGTTGCGTATACTTTAAGCTGTAAGTGAAATTACGAAATGGAAATTATTGCAATTTTGAAAATGCCCGTATTATTAGACTTCAGCAATTATGAACTGATTGTCGTGACACCCATTAACAATATTATTTCAGATGCTAACTGCACATTTCTGTTTCATAACTTCTAGGACCAGCGGATTTTCTTAGCGCTTAATGGGTGTAAATGCAATGAACGCTAATAGATACACGCCAAAAGTACATTTACGAGTTTGTGTGCACAAGTGTTGTTTATCAGATGGCTTTAAAAACGTGTTGTACATCGCAGACGTGGCGATCGAAAATGACTACGCGTATAGCAAAATTTAGAATCAAAAATCACTCATTCAACAATGATATTAATGACGTCTAACCCACAGAGCATCGCTGATCAGTGAGCATAATTGGTTTTTTTACATCTTTCTCTTCAGCGCACAGCTACAAGTATACATTGTTTTATTAAACATAAATATAAGTATAGCGACCGATTATTTGTCTTAATAAATGAGAAGGTTCTTAACAGCGTATGATAAAAAGAGCACCAATTACCTAACATTCTATCTCCCCATTTTTTACTCGCCAAAAATGAGATTCAATGAATATGATTCCTTTCCCTATATCCTTTTTCATCACATAATTCCGTAGCGGCCAAACTATTGGCTCTATATATTCGACTAGAATCACCATAATGAAACTATCCTTTCTGATGCATAGCCATTCATTGTCTTACTCTTCACGGTATTCTTTCCTCACTTGGGTGCAGTAACGTCATACAACAGACTATTCCGCGCTAAACATTCAGTATATTCAACAACACCTCTGTCCCCATCTTGTCCAAATATTCTTCCGTAAATTTGTTGACTTTCCACCCTGCGACCTGCCTAAGGTCTATCCCGCAAAGTTTCACTTCAATACAACAACAAAATTTTCCTAGCAGCTGCTGCGTGCAGCATTATGCGGTCGACGAAAATGTGTGAGAAAATCACCATTTCTCAATGCTCCCTTGTTTTCACCCGTTTCCATTAACCCTCCTTCAACATCACATTTGACTACAGGTTTCTTCGATCCCCGAGAGATATTCTGCTCCTACTTATAATGAATCATTTGTTACGCTTTTCAATACGCGCGCTCTTCCTACGATATCATCGCCGGCAGAGCTCAATTCTATATTAGACATCCTTTCACAATCTTTCCTAAACTCGAGCTTACATTCCCTCTAATCTAACTTATCAAAGTCTTCATTTGATATAAAATCATTGCATCATCCGTCCCACACTCGGCGCACTATCATGCTAGTCTGAGCTATTACGCGCCAGAAAATTGTCTACATCTCACTACCCGTCTCCTAGCGACCGATGCCCGATCGACGAAATCATCTTTAACGTTCCTCTTGTTGTCCTCGACTAGCTTCTACGTTAGCGCTTCGTCACAATTACTATCACTCCCTCAATCGTCCTCATCTTCTTCTATTCATTGTTCTAGAACAAATTAACTAATATCATGATAAAAGGGTTCATTCAGTAGAGTCGTCATGAATGGCAGCCGCCGTGCCGCAGCAATCGTATCTTTGTAGTTGAAAGAACATTTTTCATCAAATGATTATGATAGTCTCAGATATAATCGTTTTTCAAATATCAAAATAACCTCCCATTTCCGATTTGCTTACCTGCAATTCACACAGGTTAAACGACCTCCGCAGACTCCCGTTTATTAGATCATCTAGCGTTAGCATTCCAGGCTTATTGCTGTAACAATGTCACATTAGCAAACAGAATTAACGTCAAGAGTAAGATTGACTAGACGTACGGGGTTGAGAATTTTAATAAGATATAGTCACGTGGATGTCCGAAAAATAATTCGCCAATAATTTAATAACCGTCGAGTCGAAGAGAATTTAGTTTTTAATTTAAAACAGGGCTAATGCTAATACTAACTTACGTACCAATATTTTTTCGATAGATAACGCGATTAAGGTCGAAAGATCTGTCACTTGCACTATCTTATGAACATGGGATTTCACTAGTGATTTTTTGATGATGGAATTTTGACTCGTGTTTATGATCATTTTGCGGCAGACATCTGCTGTGCGTCTTACGAATGTTTATGGCAGGCGTAGAATTTCGCATGGTTAAAATTAACTTGTTAGAAAAACAAACAGGCGCGTGTAAATAAACTTGCTTGGGACTTATCAAAGCCATGGTGGCTGGTTATGATATATATGGTCACTATTGTGGCGGTTAAATTATCCTTAACATTAGCGCGGGAACATCTTATTCCTTAACTTTAATCAAAATATGGAGCAGGTAAGCTATCCACGAGAATGCACTTGGAGTATACATTTATCTCATTCACTATAATTTATACATGATGTAGGCCATTTATGGCAACGGAAACTACAGGGATCTTCAAAAGTAACCATATGCACGTAATTAGCTTAGCTATGCGCTACCGGCGATGGTACTTACTACTAATGCTCATAACTCCAATATTTATCAGGCTACAAACTCTCAATTCTTCGGTGTCCACACTTTCCAAGTCAGATCTCTAGAGGCTGGTAGGTTTCTGTCTTGATCAATCCGTTGACCTGTTCTCTTCCATACCAAACCTCTGTTAATTGGCCGAATACTTTTCTAGGAATTCCTTGCTGGATGATCGCAAAATCTGGCTTTGTGACGAATTAATTCGCTGGCTGATTCACTTCTCCAACGGCCACAAATTGTTAACCGCGGTATCACACGTTCTTTCCATCAGTCCACGCAATTTATGCCTTTATGAAAATTCTCATTTAATAAATCTGTTTCTCCTAACTTGCGGCATATACAATCAACGCCATACCAAATGTGTGGACGAATTGTATAGCAGAGCTGTTTCAGTATCTTCAATCAGGGACAATGGCACTTGGCAGACAAGATCTAGCTGTGGAGCTACCCGTTAGAATATTTAACTGTGTTGGCGGAGGAAGTTTCGACGACGGATTTTGTTGATGAGCAGAGGTAACTACAAGTTGAATAACTGGAATGAGTGTGTCAGTGTATGGAAATATATTTACATGGCGTGTTGATTCAGGACAAACGTTCATAAGGAATTAACGGATGCAATTCCATTGGTAATTCGACATTGCAATCGTTTCTGGCTCAAAATAATCAATAATTCCGTTAAAGCAAAGAGTTTCGGTGCTTGGAAAGCTGGATAGCGTACAATGTGCTATTTGAGTAAGTTATCCGAAAATCCCAGCCTGCGTAGGTTGATTACTAGATCTTAATTTTTGTTGATAAAACGTCGTATTTAATCTTTAGGTCTCTCCTGTAATTGATTATTCACGTATTTCCATGCGAAGAAACACATGAATCAGCAACGGAAGTATTAATTCAGTTTTTAGATCAGCCGTCAGTAACTTTAATTCGAATGGACGCAATCAATAATTGCAAAAGCCTTTAATGGTAGAGAAGATATAATTTTCTACGTTTTATACTTATCCGTCGCGACAACGATAATAGTAACTAATGGCTTATTAACTGATACTTTCTATCTGCTGTAGAATCCGGTGAACACGCGATAGAGAACCTATGCTGTCTCATGACGGTGTTGGCGATACTTTCCCTAAATACGTTGCCAAACACTTGACTTGTCCAGACATTGTGAATGATGCTTACATTCATTGGTTATTATGCTCGATATCAGGAGATATCATCTTCAGTAATGTATTGATCTTAATTAATGGAACTTTATAAAATATCATCAAGAATCCTCAAAACGGATTTGTTAACACATTGGCGAAATGACGCTTGAATTCTGGGTCCATCTCCAAGAGGATATTCATGAACCATACATGATACCTATTCATTCCAACTAGCAGAGAACAACAATGATACTGTTCTTGACTTTGGTAACGCTGCAGGGACATTATCATCAGAAGAAGCTCAGAATATTAAGCAAGCAGCAGTTCTACTGTTTAGAAGATTAATTGAAATATTGAGAGTAAAGCTGCAACTGCTACCGGAAGATATGGGTAATTTGGAGTATAGACAGATGTTGTTTATAGATAAATTTTTTCTTTGCTAATATAATAGCATAACTGTCTTTTATTACAGAGCCAAGGTCTAG